ATAGAGACATATAGAGACCCATAGAGATACATAGTGACCCATAGAGACCCATAGATATACATAGAGACACATAGAGACATATAGAGACCCATAGAGATACATAGTGACCCATAGAGACCCATAGATATACATAGAGACATATAGAGACCCATAGAGATACATAGTGACCCATAGAGACCCATAGATATACATAGGGACACATAGAGACATATAGAGACCCATAGAGATACATAGTGACCCATAGAGACCCATAGATATACATAGGGACACACAGAGACATATAGAGACCCATAGAGATACATAGTGACCCATAGAGACCCATAGATATACATAGAGACACATAGAGACATATAGAGACCCATAGAGATACATAGTGACCCATAGAGACCCATAGATATACATAGGGACACACAGAGACATATAGAGACCCATAGAGATACATTCAAGACAAGACAGAGTCGTGCCATTGTGGAAAAAGGCTACGGACCCGCACAGCAAACCCACTGTGGTGTGCACTTCTTCAATGGATGATGAGTGGGAGGAGGAGGAGGAAGAACAAAGGACAAGACACGAACTCTCTTCTCTCTCTCCCTCTGATGTAGCCCTCTCTCTCGCTGTGGCCAGCAGCAGCAGCAGCAACAACAGGAATACCCCCACATTGGCATGGAGCTCCCGAACGTACTGCTGCACATGCGCAAGATAACAATTGCTACAGTGGGAAATAATTGCGCGGCCCCTGCTCCAGCGGTGGAAATTCCACATTCCCATGGCCGGTGGCAGTTCTCTCTCTCTGGAGATCCGCTGTTGATGGCGTACAACACGGCGATGTAGTTAGGGGAGTTTGCATTTTTTTTGTCGTTGCAAACTTAAAATTAAGGTTTTATATGGAAATGGAATATTAATAACAGTAATAATACAGTACCCATGTTTCTTAGCTGCGAAGTGGAGTTGTATATGCAGTATTATTGGTTAAAATATATGTGTTATATCACTTATTATTAAAACGAGTCTGGTTGTAGTATGTATCTGTGTGTGACTTGAAAGATCCGAACAGTCCCATCATCATTGAGATCGTCGGCAGGCGATGCTGAGTAAGCTTGTTCACGTAGACCGCATGCCTGCAGCCACCGCATGCCTAAACAGATTCTGTTTATCTGGATAGAGGGGGGCTAAACGGACACGACACGGGCTACAGAAGAGATGGGCTGAGGCGGTACAGGAGGACATGGAGCTGAGTGGACTTGCCAATGACTGGTACCAGCGGTTTCAAGATCGGCCTCTGTGGAGGAGGCTCGTGAAGGACGCTGCTACTGGGCAGTTGGAGGCAGTCGCCCTCCAACAACAACGGAGGGCGGAGGAGCGACGCTCACAACAACGAGCGGCTAAAACACAGCGGGTTGGCACAGTGGGGAGCACAGATGGTGCATCAGTCATCTCAGCCAGTCAACCCATGGCACCTGGGGTCTGTCCCGTGACCTCCTTTGACACTTCACGTGGCGTCAAAGTGCACCTAGCCTGGCACAGGCGCCGTGGTGATGTCACCACAACAGAATGGCGGCGGCAGTAGCAGTCGCCCTCCAACAAGAGGAGCGACGCTCACAACAACGAGCGGAGCGCCGGGCGAATAAAATACAGCGAGTTGGCAAAGTTGGGGGTGCGGCTGGTGCATCTGTCAGTCATCTCAGTCAGCCGACCCATGGCACCTGCTGGGTCTGTCCCGTGACCCCCTCCTGTCAGCGAGCCTTCGTACACTTCACGTGGCCTCAAAGTGCACCTAGCCTGGCGCAAGCGCCGTTGTGACATAGGTAGCTAACCGTGCTAATCAGATGTGCTGTTGTTGTTGTTGTGACTACCCAGCGGCAATGTGTTCGGCCGCTTGTTGCAGAGAAGTTCCCAGTTCGAATCGGGCAGCAGGCCGCCCTAGTTAATACTGCGGGCTGTGCATTAACCGTTTAATACTGAACTACCCCCCGCCACCCGATTCACTCACGATGGACGTTAAAGATCCCGCGACGTCGTTATAAACGAGTGGGGTCATTGCGTGCTGGTGTCGCGGTCCAAATTTCACGACATTTGAAACAAATTTATACTGCAAATATAGGGCATAGGCCATAGAGCATACAGTAGATGTGGCGCATAGTACAATACAACAAAACAGGGTGACCCAAAAGTCAGGACACATCTAGTTGTTTCACTTATTTTAACACTGGCATAAAAACTGTTTAATTGTTTATTCTTTAAATCAATATTATATCTACTGTCATTATTCCTTCTTGACTTAAAGCTTCGTGACTGCAGGAATTCATATTCTTTGGGTCTTTCGGTAAAGTGACGTACATAGGTATAAAAATAATAATAAAAATAAACCTATCTACGTGACTTTACCGAAAGACCCAAAGAATGACATTATTTCTGTGTGTTTTTGTTCTTTCTTTCCTTGGTGAATTTTAACATTTGAAAGAAATTATTTTGCTAAAGAAGACACCTACAAAGACACTTCAACTCCTCACACAGGCACCTACAAAGACACTTCAACTCCTCACACGGGCACCTACAAAGACACTTCAACACCTCACACAGGCACCAACAAAAACACTTCAACACCTCACACAGGCACCTACAAAGACACTTCAACACCTCACACAGGCACCAACAAAGACACTTCAACACCTCACACAGGCACCTACAAAGACACTTCAACTCCTCACACAGGCACCAACAAAGACACTTCAACACCTCACACAGGCACCTACAAAGACACTTCAACACCTCACACAGGCACTTACAAAGACACTTCAACACCTCACACAGGCACTTACAAAGACACTTCAACACCTCACACAGGCACCTACAAATACACTTCAACACCTCACACAGGCACCTACAAAGACACTTCAACACCTCACACAGGCACCTACAAAGACACTTCCAACACCTCACACAGGCACCTACAAAGACACTTCAACACCTCACACGGGCACCTACAAAGACACTTCAACACCTCACACAGGCACCTACAAAGACACTTCAACACCTCACACAGGCACCTACAAAGACACTTCAACACCTCACACAGGCACCTACAAAGACACTTCCAACACCTCACACAGGCACCTACAAAGACACTTCAACACCTCACACAGGCACTAACAAAGACACATCAACACCTCACACAGGTACCTACAAAGACACTTCAACACCTCACACAGGCACCTACAAAGACACTTCAACACCTCACACAGGCACCTACAAAGACACTTCAACACCTCACACAGGCACCTACAAAGACACTTCAACACCTCACACAGGCACCTACAAAGACACTTGAACACCTCACACAGGCACCTACAAAGACACTTCAACACCTCACACAGGCACCTACAAAGACACTTCAACACCTCACACAGGCACCTACAAAGACACTTCAACACCTCACACAGGCACCTACAAAAACACTTCAACTCCTCACACAGGCACCTACAAAGACACTTCAACACCTCACACAGGCACCTACAAAGACACTTCAACACCTCACACAGGCACCTACAAAGACACTTCAACACCTCACACAGGCACCTACAAAAACACTTCAACTCCTCACACAGGCACCTACAAAGACACTTCAACACCTCACACAGGCACCTACAAAGACACTTCAACACCTCACACAGGCACCTACAAAGACACTTCAACTCCTCACACAGGCACCTACAAAAACACTTCAACACCTCACACAGGCACCTACAAAGACACTTCAACACCTCACACAGGCACCTACAAAGACACTTCAACTCCTCACACAGGCACCTACAAAGACACTTCAACTCCTCACACAGGCACCTACAAAAACACTTCAACACCTCACACAGGCACCTACAAAGACACTTCAACACCTCATACAGGCACCTACAAAGACCCTTCAACTCCTCACACAGGCACCTACAAAGACACTTCAACACCTCACACAGGCACCTACAAAGACACTTCAACACCTCACACAGGCACCTACAAAGACACTTCAACACCTCACACAGGCACCAGCAAAGACACTTCAACACCTCACACAGGCACCTACAAAGACACTTCAACTCCTCACACAGGCACCTACAAAGACACTTCAACACCTCACACAGGCACCTACAAAGACATTTCAACACCTCACACGGGCACCTACAAAGACACTTCAACACCTCACACGGGCACCTACAAAGACACTTCAACACCTCACACAGGCACCTACAAAGACATTTCAACACCTCACACGGGCACCAACAAAGACACTTCAACACCTCACACAGGCACCTACAAAGACATTTCAACCCCTCAAACGGGCACCAACAAAGACACTTCAACACCTCATACAGGCACCTACAAAGACACTTCAACTCCTCACACAGGCACCTACAAAGACACTTCAACACCTCACACAGGCACCAGCAAAGACACTTCAGCACCTCACACAGGCACCTACAAAGACACTTCAACACCTCAGACAGGCACCAACAAAGACACTTCAACACCTCACACAGGCACCTACAAAGACATTTCAACACCTCACACGGGCACCTACAAAGACATTTCAACACCTCACACGGGCACCTACAAAGACACTTCAACACCTCACACAGGCACCTACAAAGACATTTCAACACCTCACACGGGCACCTACAAAGACATTTCAACACCTCACACGGGCACCTACAAAGACACTTCAACACCTCACTCGGGCACCTACAAAGACACTTCAACACCTCACACAGGCACCTACAAAGACATTTCAACTCCTCACACAGGCACCTACAAAGACACTTCTCAACACCTCACACAGGCACCTACAAAGACACCTCATCCCAATCCCGAGTATAATTATAATTATATTTACTAATACAGATAAGTCGTGAGCTTGGCCGCGATTGGCTATAACAAAAAAAACATCGCTCAGTTGATTGGCCGTTGTACTTATACGTAGTGGTAAATGTGAAGCGAGGTTTTTATGAAATCAACGGTCGCTGGGGTCCTTAGCTCATTTGGATTGTGTCAGAGTTGGTATTGGCTATGCATACTAGTTCAATTCAATGCAACAACGCTTGCGATAGCACAACCAAAGTTTGCAACACAGTTACATAGTACGGTTAAGCGCACAGTCACCCACGCACTTTTAACGTGAATTGTTGAACGTGTTTTAATAGTACATTTGCTACTGTACAGCGGACTGTACCGAACTTACACAACAACTAAGTCCTTGCGCCAAGTCTTGTTTAATAATCAATTGTGTTCGATTGTTATCCTCGTCCTCCTGCTAATGTAGTGCTGTCACGAAGCGTTCCTTCTGCCCTCCGAACAATTAAAATCGCACGCAAGTTTTTTTTTTGTACAGGGTGTGCGCATAGGTTTGGCGTTCCTGCCACAGGTTAGGTTTAGGTCCCGAAACGTCTAGCCACGCGCGCGGACACAGGAATCCAATGTTCCACGGAGTTCGCGTTTATTAGCCATCGGTCGTCCCTAACACTGCCGAGTCTCGAGTTGGTGCGGGTTGTTATTTCGCCAAGAAGTCAAGGGAACGTTACCTTTACAACTAAAAAACACTCATCGGCAACCTCACCTATGGCTTTGGAATCGACGAAAGCCGAAGCCGCGACAGGTGAGACTCCTTTGATAAGACAAAGCTTTAACTCCGACGCTCGTAATAATATTGTTATTGTCGTTATAATATCACGTGCCAGCATCGGCGATTCGTGTATCGCCGTGCTGCGAACACCGATAGGGTAGCAGCGTTGCGAGGGAATCGGTGTCCTTAGCCTGGACTAATCCGATGAGCTGCAAAGCTCTTTTCACGCGGAATATCCAGTCGAGGCGAGGTGGGGGTGGTGGGTGGGTCAGCGCGTTAGAACAACGACAACAAACAGCGATGTGGGGTGCAAAGTATAGGAAAGGGTATGCAAGTCACTGCAAATAAATGCATGCAATGGTAATAAAAGGGGTTTTTCCACCTTTTTTTTATGGCAACAAAGCTGAAGCCTTTTTTTAGGAGGATTCATGTCTGCATTAACCACAATACTTGCAGTCAAAACGCAAGGGAAAAAAACACACTGATAATATTTTCATTGTCCTTGAAACTGATTGGTCCACACCAGAGACAGCTTTTCTTTAGAGCCTGATCTCTTTTTGTTTGCGTTTTCACTGCAAGTATTGTGGTTAATGCAGACATGAATCCTTGTAAAAAAAAAAGGTTTAATTCTAGATTTGAAGCTTTCGTGACTGCAAGGATCCATACTCTTTGGTTCTATTCGGTAAAGTCACGTAGGTAAAAAATAAAACAAGAAAAATCACGGCGCTACGAGTCTACGAATCTTAGCAGCGTTCATTGAAGCTCTGTCGTCCCGACAGTTCTGTTCCTTCACCTGAAGAAGGCTACTTGTGTTGTGGCCGAAACGTCGTGATTTTTGTTGTTTTATTTTTTACCTTCGTGACTTTACCGAATAGAACCAAAGAGAAAAAGGTTTAAGTTTTGTTGCCAGAAAAAGGGGAAAAACCCTATTATTATATTTTTGTACTGGCTAAGGACGTCCAATGATGTACATGCAATGGTGTTAAGTACAATAATAGGGATTTTACCCTTTCTGTCAATACTACAGGGGACGTTTAAGATGTTCAAACGCCAAACAGGGACCTTTTGCAAGGAGCATGCTTTTGTTTGCATGCTCACCCCTAGCTATAAATTCCCAGGTAGCGGCATTGTCCTTGTGCTGCTGTTCGCCTTTCGGCGTTGTCCTCTGGTCTAACACTGGTTGCGACGAGGCCCTCAAGAAGGCCGCTGTCTCTGGTGTGGACCAATCAGTTTCCATAGACAATGCCACGTGATCAGAGCACGTTTTTGTTTGCATGTTCACCACAGAGTTGTCAATCAGTGCACAGTGCCAGCTGTGTTCATAGGGATGACAAAACGAACAACTTGTTTTATTTTACCAGCTAAGGCTCACTGAGTTATATATATATGTATTTTTTAATCCTATTCTTATACTTTGATATAGGCAAGAAAGGTGCCAAAGTTGTAATTGCATAAGTGGAACGGCGGGGCAGTGGTTTTGAACCTGGGCCCACCCGAGTTGGATTTCCGATCTAGGTGGCCGTGAGTGGCGAGGAGTGATATCCCAACCGGTCTCTTGCTCTCTCGTCTTCCCCTTTACCCACCAGCGTGGTGAAGTATGGTCAACCCACGCCCCCCCCCCCCCATGTCAACCCATCACCGACATGTCATGGAAAAGACGTTCATTGTTGGATAAGAGAATGGCTGGAATAAGAATAGAATATTTGTTACAAAAAACCCAACTATTAATATTGCAGTGCTAGTGAAGCACTTTCTGATGTGTTCTACAGTTGACAGTAGAACTCCACACGGTCGTCGTATGCGTGCTGTGTAGGGGGTACAGCTGGTGGTGCATCTACCGGTCATCTCAGTCGGTCAACCCATGGCACCTGCTGGGTCTGGCCTGAGACCTCCGGTCAGCGAGCCTTCGACACTTCACGTGGCCTCGAAGTGCACCTAACCTGGCACAGGCGCCGTGGTGACGTCACCATCACTTAGTGGCGAATGGCTTGGTGTTGGTCATGGTCGCGGTGCGTCTCCTGGACCCAGAAGGGCTCCTTCTGCCTCAGTGGCGTGCGACTCGTGTTGTCGATGACAGCGATTATGTCATTGTGTGATGATGATGATAATGATAGCGTGATGTCAACCGTGATGACGTTGGTGTGCCGGTGGGGTGTGACGCTTGTTCATGATGATTTAGATGTTATTGATGTCATGTCGATCGTGATGTTCAAGGTGATGGTAATAACGATGTCATTGCACCATAGAGTGGAGACCTCCGCCTGCCCCAGTGGGGTGCGACTCGTGTTGATATCGTGATGGTATTGATGGTGGTGGTGATGATGATGTTGGTAATGATGGTGATGTTGTGGGTGTCTCAGTTCGCCTGGTGGAGACCCTCCGCCTGCCCCAGTGGGGTGCGACTCGTGTTGATATCGTGATGGTATTGATGGTGGTGGTGATGATGATGTTGGTAATGATGGTGGTAATGATGTTGATGTTGTCCTCAGTTCGTCTGGTGGAGACCTCCGCCTGCCCCAGTGGGGTGCGGCTCGTGAGCCCGTACCACACAAACCGCTCGGGGGACCCCATGGACCTCGTCGCCCTGGCGCAGCAGGTGCAGAAGGTGTGTGCAGCAGCAGCAGTGGTCGAAGCAGGACACAGTAGTAGCAGTTGCAGGATGAGTAGTACAGTAGTAGCAGCAGTCATTGAAGCACAGCAGGAAGGAGTAGCAGCAACAGTAGCAGCAGCAGCAATTGGGTGCCACGGTGGCTATGAGATGTTAACTACCTCGTCTGGTATGCAGGAGGTCGTGGGTTCGATTCCGACCCTGACGCCTGCTGCTGTATATTTGGAGTTTGCTTGTTTCTCTCACCGTGGTCACGTGGATTTTTCTCCGGGTCCTCCGGTTTTTCCCTCCGCATTAAAAAAAAAAACAATTTAGAGCATTTGTCGGTGAGAGGTTTCCACATGGATAAGCCGCTTCGTTGAGCTTTCATTTGTGACCAGGCAGATACTGAAAAAGAGCTCAGCGGGCCTTGCCTAGTAAAATAAAACATTTTGATTTAAAGCTTTCGTGACTGCAGGGATTCATATTCTTGGTTCTTTCGGTAAAGTCACGTAGAAGGGAAACAATAAAATAATAAAAATATAAAACAATAAAATTCTCATGACTTTTCGACTTCAACACAAGCAGTCATCATCAGGTGTGAAAACCACAACAAGAACATTTGAAAAAAGTGGAGGTTTTTTTAAAGTTAACACCACGGAGAGCGATTTGACAGTTTGTTCAGATGGACGAGTCCATCTATGTTCGGAAAAGAGGAGGGGGGAGACGAAAAATAATGGGTACGGTCTGAAAGCCACCGTAAGCGTGATCAATCAATTAAGACCCGAAATGGTTTATCAAATCCTTCCAATGATTGCTAAGCCAGAATCCATATATTGAAATTGAGAGAAATAAAAATATTTGTACCGTTTTGATAGCTGCAGGCTTAGTGCTGCTTGGAAGTGTACTATCAAGTAATACACTGTTTAATGTCATGCCTATGTAGGTTCACATGTTGATTAACTGTGGCTAATCCAGCCGGCAATATGTACTGCATATCCTCAGATTAACATCATGTATGTACTATATGTATGTTGAACTTCTTCCGCACCATATGTAGCCAACCGTGCTAATCGTGAGGTGCGGGGAAGAACAACAAACTAAACACAAAAAGAAACGAGTTTTCAACTTCGATGATTTAAAAGTGCACAGCTCCAGTGGCTTCGAGACTGAGTCCGTGTAGTGGCAGCAATAGTTAAAACAGGAAGAGCACCAACAGCAGTAGCAGCAGCAGGCGTAGCCGCTACTGTCTTCTGGTGTCGGTCCATCATGACTGGGCAATCACTGATGGTCACGTGACCCACGTCGCGGACCCCACCGATTGGTTGAATTGCCCACCTAATTCTTATGGTCTAAACACGTGGGGAGCGGTGGTGCAGCTGTTGGAGTGCGCTGCGCTATGGACCCTGGCGGACCCGACTTCCATTCCCGTTGACGATCAATCACAGCGGCGGCAAATTGGAACTGGTCCTGGGCCTCCCCTAGGTCGACTCGGCACAGTTCTGATGTGTACATATCACGTGTAAACATCAGCAGTGAAGAGACAAAGGCGGGCCGCGTGTGGTGTTGGCCACACCACCACCACCACCACCTCGTGCAACCATGCCGGCCTTTCATAGGTGCCTGCTAACCACGCTTAGCCCCCAACAGCTCTGTTAAGTGCTAAGCGGGGGTATCTTTGTCTTGTTGTCTTGCACAGGCTGACGAGTTCATCCGCGCGAACGCTTGCAACAAGCTGTCGGTGATCGCCGACACCATCCGGTACCTCCAGGAGCAGGCGCGCACGGTGAGACACCATACGGCCTCGTGAGACCTCACAACCAATTATGTTGTTAATAGCACATGCATGCGTGCGTGCATGCGTGCGTGCGTGCGTGATCTGCCACCTGCCAGTCATCTCAGATGCGGCACAGTTGACTACGTACGGGGTGAAGGAAGTTCAACATACGTACATCATCAACACGGTCGTTATCAACAGCAGTAGCATCAACGACATCATCAGTTGCATTTCCAACATCATCATCGTACGTTGCAACACAGTCTACAGCAGCAGCATCGTCATTCTCAAGTCGTTTCATACATTGCCCGAGTCGGTGTTGCTCATCTGTTGGTGGTTTTGCTCATCTGTTGGTGGTGTTGCCCATCTGTTGGTGGTGTTGCTCATCTGTTGGTGGTGTTGCTCATCTGTTGGTGGTGTTGCCCATCTGTTGGTGGTGTTGCTCATCTGTTGGTGGTGTTGCTCATCTGTTGGTGGTGTTGCCCATCTGTTGGTGGTGTTGCTCATCTGTTGGTGGTGTTGCTCATCTGTTGGTGGTGTTGCCCATCTGTTGGTGGTGTTGCCCATCTGTTGGTGGTGTTGCTCATCTGTTGGTGGTGTTGCTCATCTGTTGGTGGTGTTGCCCATCTGTTGGTGGTGTTGCTCATCTGTTGGTGGTGTTGCTCATCTGTTGGTGGTGTTGCCCATCTGTTGGTGGTGTTGCTCATCTGTTGGTGGTGTTGCTCATCTGTTGGTGGTGTTGCCCATCTGTTGGTGGTGTTGCCCATCTGTTGGTGGTGTTGCTCATCTGTTGGTGGTGTTGCCCATCTGTTGGTGGTGTTGCTCATCTGTTGGTGGTGTTGCTCATCTGTTGGTGGTGTTGCCCATCTGTTGGTGGTGTTGCTCATCTGTTGGTGGTGTTGCTCATCTGTTGGTGGTGTTGCTCATCTGTTGGTGGTGTTGCTCATCTGTTGGTGGTGTTGCCCATCTGTTGGTGGTGTTGCCCATCTGTTGGTGGTGTTGCCCATCTGTTGGTGGTGTTGCCTATCTGTTGGTGGTGTTGCTGATCTATTGGCGTTGCTCATCTGTCGGCCGTGTTGGTGGTGTTGCTCATCTGTTGGTGGTGTTGCCCATCTGTTGGTGGTGTTGCCCATCTGTTGGTGGTGTTGCTCATCTGTTGGTGGTGTTGCTCATCTGTTGGTGGTGTTGCTCATCTGTTGGTGGTGTTGCTCATCTGTTGGTGGTGTTGCTGATCTGTTGGCGGTGTTGCTCATCTGTCGGCCGTGTTGGTGGTGTTGCTCATCTATTGGTGGTGTTGCTCGTGTCTTGCCACTCACCTCGATGATCTCCCATCCCGCCAGGTGCTGGAGGAGACGGTGCGCGACGCCGATCTGCACCGCGCCGCCTGCAACGTCGTCAAGAAACCGGGCAACACCTACTTCCTGTACCAGCGTGACAGCGGGCAGCAGTACTTCTCTATCCTCTCCCCTCAGGTCACAACCAATAGTAGCAGCAGCAGCAGGATAACAGCAGCATCATCAGCATCAACATCAGCAGCAGCAGGATCGCCCACTATCGATCCACTCATCTCGTTTATTCCACGCATCGTCACCAGCACCTCTCTTTACATACATCCTGTCCAATCATCACGTTTCATCGCGCCAATGACCTTGTAGTTATTTCACTGTACAGCGCCTTGGTTAAGGCGCTATGTAAATGTATGATAAGATAACATAATCAGCCATATCAAAAGACAGTTACCGCATTGCGCGCTCTCACGTGCGCTTCTGCGGCCGTCTGTATGTGTGCATGTTTTAACTTCTTTCGCACCGCACGTAGCCAACCGTGCTAATCGAAGGTGCGGGGGAAGGACAAAAATCGGAGATGCGGGGGATGGACAAGAATGCCCTTCCGATATTTGGAAGCCACTGGAGCAAGGCACTCTTAAATCATGGAGGTTGAAAACTCATTTCGTTTAGCGTTTAGTTTGGTGTCCTTCCCCGCACCTCCGATTAGCACGATTGGCTACGTACGGTGTGAAAGAAGTTCAGCATACATACTGGACATCATCATAGTTACTATCAACGGCAGTAGCATAACCGACATTATCAGTTGCATTACCAACGTCATCAGAAGCATCGTCGTCCGTCTCAAGTTGTTTCAAGAGCCTTCACCGTTAGGACGTTCAGCCAATTCCATTTTATAAGGGGCATTTACACGTGAGCGGAAGCGAGACTACGTTGTCCACACAGATGGGTTGTAACGAACCCACTTGCTGTACTGCCATCTTCCGCCCACCGCCGGGAGAAAAGTATCGGTAGTGGTGGCCTGGTGGTTCAAAGGTCGGAGCGCTAAGCTGAGACGTCTTTGTTTACAATCTTTATTTAGACTGGAGGAGGAATCGGATGAGCTGTGAAGCTCTTTTGCACAGATCTCCAGTAGAATCCTGAGTTCGATCCCAGGTTACAGCCACCACGCGATTAAACTGGGTTCTCAAGTGTAGGACATTGATGTGGTCTCGGCCGGTGGCCAATGATTGCGCGCAAAAAAAAAATCGCGTAAAAATTTGGTTCTGCGGTTCCATCTTTGCTCAATTCCAGCTCGGGGAATGAACACAAACGGTTTGATTGCCACTGCGACGAAACACTACTCTCGTGTGGCAGAGCAGGCTGGGGTAGTGTCGAGTGCTGCCCCTCTACAGAGATGACGCGAAGGTGGATCTCGGAAGTAGTTCTGTTTGCATCCTGTTTACCGCGAACCGTCCTCTGTGAAGAACGGCCAGGGGGGGTGGTGGTGCGGGGGGGGTGGGTGTCTCGTCGCTCCGCGCCACTCTGAGAGCTCGAACTTCGATTCTTGATCTCAGGGGCGTGACGCCACACGGCAACATTAGGGGGAAACGCATTTGGCGGAGTTATTTTTTTACAATACATTTTTTTTATTTTAACAATGGAATAAAAAAAGTTGGCGTTCTAATTCCGGTATTATTTTTGTTCCACGCCAATGCTTTGTTTTTTATACCGGCGCCATACAGGACTGGGGATCGCGCTGCCCGAACGACTTCCTGGGAGCGTTCAAACTGCAGGCGGACATGTCGTGGACACCGGCCGACGAGGCCGAAGAGAAGGAGGGGAAACTCTCGTCGCTCAGGCAGCTCGTGGCCCACACGATTGCCGAACCCTCGGTTCTCTCACTGGCGACATCGTCGCTTCCGCTGCCACTCAAGTCTCTGCAGTCCCCGGGCGACGAGGACCCGCTCGGGATCTCCTCGGCAGAGTTGCCCAGAGGACCTGGAGGTGTCCCTTGTGTGGGGCTGCCCTTGGAGAAAGGTGCCTGCTTGGACTGAAGCAGGGGTCAGCAACCTGCGCCTTCGGAGCCGCATGCGGCTGTTTGGCTGCCCCCTTTTGCGGCTCTTTGGCTTGCCCCCTTGGCGGGCAGCAATTAAAAATTTTAATCTTAAACGTAATTTAACATTAGATAATTTATTAAATATGGCAGAGTAATGGGCCACCACTATGCAATGTGACCCGTTCCATAGTACTGAACCTCTACTAACATTTGCTGCTTCATTGGGCCTATATGGGAAAAAAGAAGTGTGGACCGAAAGCTTTCCCACACCATGCTAGCCAGCGGGGGGGGGGGGGGGGGAGTGTTTGACCGCCCTGAAGGCTGCTTGTCAGTGTCGCTTGGCGAAGGCGGACCTGGCCTAGGAACGGTTCGGCTATCACTTCGCACCGACATTAGCCACGGCTAATAGACGCAGTGCACTGTCAGCACTGCGCCATCGCTCGCTCCCCCACTGCCAGTGCATGCGGTGTACCGAGATAATGTTGTGCATGTACTTGAAAGAAGTGTTAAACTGTGTGTCGTGCATCATAGTACCTGCAGACAATGCAGCGTCAATAATATGCGGCACATTACACAGGCAATCTTCCTACAATCAAATGACAGTAGATCATAGATTATCCGAGGTGTGATTGTCCGGCCCCTAACATTATTCAGCGGTCCCGGGTCGATCTGGCAAAACTGGAAAAAAATGCTCCCAAGACTGCCACTCGTCCAGCGATCGGCCCCATGTACATGACGAAAAAAGTAGCCATGCTCGATTTCAGTGTCCAATAAAATATACGGTACATTATACACTGCGTACAACAACTTGAGCGATAAAAATGCTGCACCTACGTACATTGCTCATGACGAAAAACTAATAAAAATGGAAGATTCACGCGGTGCGAACTGACGAAAAGTGCTTTGTGTAATTCGGTGTTCGCCGGAGAGGTCAGAAGGCTGCATCGTCGGTGTCGGACTGTTGATCTGCTACGATTCGAGAGCCCCATCACAAACATCAAATAAATACCTTTTGCAAGGAATCAAGTCTGTATTAACCACACGTACTTGTGGTGAACATGCAATCAAGACATGCTTTGATAATGTGTAGTGACGTTAATGGCGTCGCTATGGCTTTTGCGCCAGCTACTGTCACAAGAGTGTAACGCTGCGTCTTGAGCCCCTCTGGCACCAGAGTAGGTATGGCATGGATGCGTGCCCGAGAGGGCATGGTTCTGATGACGGTCAGAGAGAGGGCATGTGAGGACATGACAGTCTGGGTGACCCCGAGAGGGCATGTGACCGGCACAGGGTAGCGAGGGGGCCCAAAGGGTGACTTGAGGGACACGTGATGCTCTGTCGAGAACCTTCTGGTAAGATCCAGAAGGGGGCGTGGCCGAAGGTGGAGCGAGGCCACGCTCGGGAGCATTAAAGGGAAGTACCGAGAGCAATCGCGGCTGTCTGCCTTCTGGAATCAACCCGCCGTGCTGCGTCTCCTTGACCTTCGGTCGTCATGTCCGGAATCGTCGGTCAGGCAGTACGTTACTGACCTGACCCGGTTATGTAGTTGCCAAGTTCAAGTGTGTGTCTCCGTGAAATGCACTACATATATAATATATTATCAGAGCATAATTATAATCCTTTGACTACAATTGGTTGAACATCCAAATGCAGGACAACCTTCCGAAGGGAGTTAATGGGACTCGGTGAGGCTATCCAGGATAAATTACAATTCTTTTCTTGCGCACGATGGCAGGGCTCAGGAGCTTAATGCCAACCAATGTCTAGGATGTCTGTTGCTGCTATCGCTGGCCACGATGAGAGGGCTTCAGGTGAGAGTTCGTGTCATTTTGCTGTTCTTGCATTGGAAGGAGTGCAGACTACACAGCGGTTTACTACGTGGATCCAGGGTGGGCTGTACGACCACACGTGCGGCTTGTGTCTTTAATTGTTCCCCCTTTTGAAGGGTGACGCGCACGTGGGCCTGTGAATGTTCCGATGCAGTTAATGGTGACACCACCAGTGCCTTGGAGGAACGTCAAAGCGAGGAGGTGTCCGATGTTTGGGGTCCCGAATTCGGTGTTCATTCTGGAAGATTATATTCGTGAAGCAAAAGCAGACTTTGCATTCAAAGTAACGATGATCGCGTAAATAAAACCTGTATTATGGATGTTAGTCGCGAAAGCCTATGTATTCAAACTAATGATTAATTAATTATTTGACAATCGTGCATACTTGGTAAAAAAACAATACAGATAGGTGCATTCATTTGAGGCTGAGTCGACCTAGGGGAGGCCCAGGACCGGTTCAGATAATCGTCACCGGTGTTGGCCGTGAGCGGGAATCAAACTCGGGTTGCCGGGTTCATAGCATCAGTCACGCTAACTACCACACCACGACTCTCGCATTGTTACGTTTACATGTTAAGCTACTAAAATGAAACGAATGTCCGAACAGTCTTCGACTTAAATTTTGATTTAAAGCTTTCGTGACTGCAGTAATTCATATTCTTAGCTCTTTCGGTAAAGTCACGTTGAAGGGAAACAATAAAATATATAAACAATAAGTCTTCGACTTACGAGCATAATTCGTTCCTGAGACCCGTTCGTAAGTTGGAACATAAATAAGAGTTTTGATGAGGGAATTCTGGGATGGATGGTGGTGGGAGTCAGGTTTTATGTAGGCATCCGTATGAGTTGCCTTCCTGTAGACAGTGTCCCATCGAATGTTCTAATCTTTTCGATTAGAACATCCAAAAATGGTAGCTTGCCATCATTTTCCACCTCCATGGTGAATTTGGTGGCTGGGTGTATGGAATTCATGTGGTTGAGGAATTGATTCACAGCTGGTCGGCCATGTGGCCAGATGACATACGTGTTATCCACGTATCTCTTCCACAAGGACGGGCGTAGAGTGGATGCCAGGATTGCGTCTGTCTCAAATTTCTCCATGAAAACATTGGCTACAACCGGAGATAAGGGATAACCCATTGGGGTGCCTTCAGTTTGTAGAATGTTCCATTCCAGGTGAAGTATGTATTGGTGAGGCAGTGTCTCACCAGGGCCGGTACATCAATCAGCATTCAATCCTTGTTGGACCAAATCTTCAGTGATTGCAATGGTAATTGGGCACAGGAACTTTGGTGAACAAAAACAAACTACATCGAAACTAACGAGCAAATCACCTGGGGACAGTGAGATGTCCTCAATTGACGATACCAGGTGAGCTGAGTTAAGTACAGAAGAGGTGGTCTTACCAGTGAATGGCTTGCAAGGTCTCAGAAAATATATCGGGCGCTGTCCTCGTGACAGTACGGTCCCCTTCACCTAATGAAGGCCACTTGTGTTGTGGCCGAAACGTCGTGATTTTTGTTGTTTTATTTTTTACCTACGTGACTTTACCGGATAGAACCAAAGAGTATATATATCGGGCGAGTTTGTGGTTTAAGAAAGGCCCCGCCCTATATGACCCCGCCCTATATGACCCCGCCCCCGTAGGGCCCCGCCCCTCACGTGGCCCACGCCCCTCATACGGCCCCGCCCCTCACGCCCAAGTTCGCGCGCGCTGCCGGAAGTGCGGCATTTGTCACGTGACTGCGGAAAAGGGGGCACGTGACGCGGGCGGGACCAATCGCGAGGATCCGGGGCCCACGTCCAACCTCCCCCCCTCCCCCCACTTGTGCTCTGCCGCGCCGCCGTTGAGGGAAGCGGCGAGAGCGGCGTCCACCCCCGCCCCTCGTCCCCCTCCTCCTCGTCCTCCTCCTGCTGCTGCCGCCGCCGCCGCCTCGCTCGACTCCTCTTCCTCCTACGCCGCTCGCTCCCTAGCCCCGAGCCTCAGGTGTGCGCCCGAGGTGCGTGCAGGCTGCCGGGAGGTTTCTGTTTGTCTCTCTCCCCTCGCCTTCTGTTGCCGCTCGCGGGGAGCGACGGGCGGGGCCCAGTATGGCGGCCGCCGCGGGAGGCCCGGGGGGCCTCTCCCCGGGCCTCCTGACAGGGTCCCCCCCCCCCCCCTCTACTGACCAGGTCCCCCCTCCCCCCTCTACTGACCAGGTCCCCCCCCCTCTACTGACCAGGTCCCCCCCCCCTACTGACCAGGGCCCCCCCCTCTACTGACCAGGTCCCCCCCCCCCTCTACTGACCAGGTCCCCCCCCCCCCCCCCCTCTACTGACCCGGTCCCCCCCCCCCTCTACTGACCAGGTCCCCCCCCCCCCCCCTCTACTGACCAGGTCCCCCCCCCCTCTTCTGACCAGGTCCCCCCCCCCCTCTACTGACCAAGTCCCCCCCCCCTCTCCTGACCAGGTCCCCCCCCCCCTCTACTGACCAGGCCCCCCCCTCTACTGACCAGGTCCCCCCCCCCCTCTACTGACCAGGTCCCCCCCCCCCCTCTACTGACCAGGCCCCCCCTCTACTGACCAGGTCCCCCCCCCCTCTACTGACCAGGTCCCCCCCCCTCTACTGACCAGGTCCCCCCCCCCTCTACTGACCAGGCCCCCCCTCTACTGACCAGGTCCCCCCCCCCCTCTACTGACCAGGTCCCCCCCCCCCCTCTACTGACCAGGTCCCCCCCCCCCTCTACTGACCAGGTCCCCCCCCCCCTCTACTGACCAAGTCCCCCCCCCCCCTCTCCTGACCAGGTCCCCCCCCCTCTCTACTCACCAGGTCACCCCTCTACTCACCAGGTCCCCTCTCTACTCACCAGGTCCCCTCTCTACTCACCAGGTCCCCTCTCTACTCACCAGGCCCCCTCTCTACTCACCAGGTCCCCCCTCTACTCACCAGGTCCCCCCTCTACTCACCAGGTCCCCTCTCTACTCACCAGGCCCCCTCTCTACTCACCAGGTCCCCCCTCTACTCACCAGGTCCCCCCTCTACTCACCAGGTCCCCCCTCTACTCACCAGGTCCCCTCTCTATTCACCAGGTCCCCTCCCTACTCACCAGGTCCCCTCTCACCAGGTCCCCTCTCTACTCACCAGGTCCCCTCTCTACTCACCAGGTCCCCTCTCTACTCACCAGGTCCCCTCTCTACTCACCAGGTCCCCTCTCTACTCACCAGGTCGCCTCTCTACTCACCAGGTCGCCTCTCTACTCACCAGGTCCCCTCTCTACTCACCAGGTCCCCTCTCTACTCACCAGGTCCCCTCTCTACTCACCAGGTCCCCTCTCTACTCACCAGGTCCCCTCTCTACTCACCAGGTCCCCTCTCTACTCACCAGGTCCCCTCTCTACTCACCAGGCCCCCTCTCTAATCACCAGGTCTCCTCTCTACTCACCAGGTCTCCTCTCTACTCACCAGGTCCCCTCTCTACTCACCAGGTCTCCTCTCTACTCACCAGGTCCCCTCTCTACTCACCAGGTCCCCTCTCTACTCACCAGGTCCCCTCGCTACTCGCCAGGTCCCCTCTCTACTCACCAGGTCCCCTCTCTACTCACCAGGTCCCCTCTCTACTCACCAGGTCCCCTCTCTACTCACCAGGCCTCCTCAGCTAACGAGGTTACCCGCTATGTGGTGTTCGGTTGGAAGGAATAATTTTTGTTGTATTTGTGACATCGCGTTGAAACGCTAGTGCGGTCCTGTATACTGCACCTAAGACAGTTTCGATAGACCCAGGTTGATTGAGAATTAATGTCCGCTTGGTAGCAATCCTGACCCGGGTCCTATCCAACCCCATTTGCGTCAAGTCGACTTCGTCGGCAGCGGCTTTGCAGGCGACATTAGGAGACTTGGTCAAGCAGGGTGCCCCCTTCTCCCTCCGCCCCACACCCCCCACAACCACCAAACCACTCATCCACATCCAACCACAACAATTACACCCCCCCCCCCCACACCGTGTTTGCAGGAGGTGTTTGCTTCGCGTGGATGAGGAGCCCCCTGTAATCAGCCAAGATGATTGGGGGCCTCTTCATCTACAACCACAAGGGAGAGGTGCTCATCTCCCGCGTGTACCGAGATGACATCGGGTGAGTTGGGGATGATTTCACTTCACATCCATCCCCTCCCTCTGTATCCCTACCTACTCTCTGCCCTCCCTCCTAGGGCTTGGGTTGTGGCCAGGGTTAGAATTCACGATAATTTCACTTCACATCCATCCCTCTGTATCTCTTCTCCCTCCCCCTCCTCTATCTCACCCCCTTCATCCCTCCCTCCCCTCCCTGCCTCCCTTCACGCACTCTAGATAGCTGTGACACAGCAACAGTGACACCTTTTTGCTGTTGTTGTCGTGTTGTTCCCAATTGACTAGGCAGAGCGTTCTAGATTTGAAGCTTTCGTGACTGCAAGGATTCATACTCTTTGGTTTTTTCGGTAAAGTCGCGTAGGTAAAATAAAATAAAAGAAAACAATTAAATCACGACGTTTCGGAGGCAACACAAGCTTCCGTCTTGATGCAGCGATCTTGCTGTGACTGTTCCACCTGAAGACGGAAGCTTGTGTTGCCTCCGAAACGTCGTGATTTAATTGTTTTCTTTTATTTTACCTACGTGACTTTAACGGAAAAACCAAAGAAAAGGCAGAGCGTCTTGATTGGAATTTTTGCCCGTAAGCAGTGCATCAACCCTGCCCTATAGAGGTCCCTTCGAGTGACCCTCACCCAGGGGCTGGAGTTTCCCACGTGTTACCCTCCTATAGATGATCACGTGGCGGTACAAGCTGTTTCAGTAGACCCTCTCTCGATCCGCGGGTGGGTGGGAGATGGTTACGTTCTTGAAAGCACTCGCGAATGCGGAGTTGGCGAGCGTGGAAAACCTTGTTCCGATGGGAAGGATGGGGTTACGTTCCTGGTACAAGTGAACATAGGTAGTGAAATGGTAAATGTTTAATAGCAATGGCTGCGATACGTGAATAACGATGTGTATTATTTATGACGATGGAGGGTTTTGGTGGTGGTGAAGAATTCGGGAGGATGATTCCTCGGGAGACGCAGGGATGTTTGGTAACAATGCCCGCACAGCTGTTATCATATTAGCAGAGACTTGACTAAACGGGCAACCGACGGGGGTCTGTGCCTAATCTTTGCAGCAGACGCTTTCATACGTGACACCGTTGTGTCCTCGCACCTCCCCGCTGTCGGTGGTCTGGCACACAGTGACGTACCCTCGCGGATCCTGGAGCCTGGCGAATAAGGAATTGGTAGGCATTTAGTGACTCGCGAGTATGCAGAACTGCGGAAATCCAGAACCCCGCGCAGAGCGGGGGTCTTACTGGAATTTAAAAACGTTTCGTGCCATTGCTTGAATTTAGCGAAGTGAAGTGGAAATCTAAACGTCGAGATGGAACCCATGACCTCCCGTATGCCGGTGAGAGGTGGTTGACGTCTCCTGGCCCCACCGGGTTGTTTGACCATTCTTCAGCGTGCCGCGCGGTGCCTCTTGTTGTTGAAGGGCACGGCGCTGGATCAATTCAGAAATTGCTCACCACTGATGTTAGCCGTGACCGGAATTCGTCAAACTTGAGTCGCCAGCTTCAGTGCTCGTTGATGCAGAAACAGCTGATGGTTGCGGCAGGGTTTTTGCCGGCTTCCCGTCGTTTTCCCACACAAACAACCCCCAGAATCTGCTGGGCTGTCACAGCTGAGCAGAGTCAGCAGCACCGCAGCTCACGGAGATGGCGTCTCCTCCCGCTCCCGCCCCCCTTTTCCCGGCTTTGTGTTGCAATGGTCAGTTGTCATGGCAACACGCCTCCTGTTTCCTGCATTGGCACTGCGGGAGTCCATTCGTGTGGGCTGCGTCTGGCAGTGCTCCCTTCTCCCACTCTACCTCATCTCTCTTGACTTTCCTCCCAACTGCACTCACTCCACACTTCACTCTCGCCTCTATTGACTCGCACCCATGTCTCTCCTAACTCTCCGCTTCTCACAACCCTTCTCCTGCCTCTCCTCACATTGCCTCTCCTGTCAACCCGGGTTCTCTCGCATCTCTGCCCTCTCAACTCTCCTCCATCTCCTCCCAATTCCCCTCCCTCTCTCTCTCTCTGTGGCTCCATACTTGTCAACCCATACGGTTTACCTGTATTTTTGTACAGGGAAATTTCGTGTTTTGGGTCCATACGGCGTACAGCCGTTTCAATGCGGGCAAAACTTTTTGTTTTGTCTATTTTGTTTCTGTTTCTTCATTGTGACGGGACTTTGTAGGATGAACTTTGAGCTTCGTAAGGGCACGGGGGTGACCATTAAGGTCTGAATTGGTCTGTAATAAGGTAGGGGCACTGATAAGGAGTTGACAGCTGTGTGTCTCTCACCATGCTTCTTGCTCGCCATATCCTCCTCCTCTCCTGCCCGCTCTCCAGATGCATTCCTGCCTGTCGCTACTCAGTGCCGGATTAAACTAGTGCGGTGCCTGGAGCATACGTGATAAAGGGGCCATAAATATAAAAAAACATAAATATTAAAACACAAAAAAAATGTTTTGCACAGTGAAGTAATTGTATCTTTTCATTTGCTATACAGCCAGATAATACGACAAATCGCTAACCTTAAACACCCAGTCGTTCATAAAAGTTGAAGGCAGTATAGGACTATAGTAATAGAGCAAGTGCAGAATCACTGAACCGGAATTTATAGCTTGAAAGCATTTAGCGCGGGTCGCTTGAAACGGGGCCCGTAGCATATGTATCTACTTTTGCTACGAGGATAATCCGGCACTGCCACCACTATTATTGTGGCAATAACGTAAAAAAAGTACAGTAGACTCTCCATCATCTGCGTGAGATTTTGACGTGAAATTTATTACTCGTGGATTTTACCTTAATCCCAAATTAGTAATCTAAAAAGAGTGATACATTGTTATTCTTGGACATGTTTATTACAAGTCACGTGCTTAAACCGAACAAAATATGTTGCTCCGGTTAACCCGAAATCTACGCGATCGCCCCTACAGTAGAGTATTTGCATATCTTTGCAACAGTGGGCGGAGTTTGATTTTGATTGGCGCGGCTCTGGGCCGGGCTTGAGCCGAACCCTGATGCCTGCTGTATATTTGGAGCTTGGATGTTCTCCCCGTGATCGTGTGGATTTTTCACCGGGGTCCTCCGGTTTTCCCCTCCACATTTAGAATCGGCACACGTTTGGGGTATTTTGGTGATATAAATGTCCACGTGATGAGCCACCTCGTTGTGCTATCATTTGTGGCCAGGTCGCTTCTGAAAAAGAACTCCATAGCTCAGTGGGTTTTGCCCGGTAAATATTTTTATTTTATTTAGAGTGAGCGAGAGTGTTAGGGAAGAGGTGAGTGCAGGAGTGAGTGTATGAGCTAGAAAGCGAGTGTGTGTGTATTGTGCGTCTGTGTGTGGGGGTAGCGGTAGTGTAGCGGTTAGCGCGCCTCACTACGAACCCGGCGACCCGGGTTCGATTCCCGCTCACAGCCAACACCAGTGACGATTTTCTGAACCGGTCCTAGGCCACCCCGAGGTTGACTCCGCCTCAAATGAGTACTTGGCGCGGTGTGTAAAAACATCACCGCTGGGTAGACAAAGGCTGCCGGGCGTGCTGCTGGCCACCCACCTCCCTTCACGTGCCGTGCCGGCCTTCACAGGTGCTGCTCGCTAACAGCACTCGCCCCCAACAGTTTATTAAAAAATGCTCCAGGAGGGGGGGAGATCTTTTTTGCCTTGGGGGGGCATCGGAGTTGGCGAGCGCGTGTGCGAGTACGCGTCACCGCCCTCCCCTCCCTGTCACCCCTCCTCCTCCGCTCCCACCCCCTCCCCCCCGGCAAGGCGGAATGCGGTGGACGCGTTCCGCGTGAACGTCATCCACGCGAGGCAGCAGGTCCGCTCGCCCGTCACCAACATCGCGCGGACGAGCTTCTTCCACGTGAAGCGCTCCAACGTGTGGCTGGCCGCCGTCACGCGCCAGAATGTCAACGCCGCCATGGTGTTCGAGTTCCTGCTCAAGCTCTGCGAGGTCATGGCCTCCTACTTCGGGAAGATCTCCGAGGAGAACATCAAGAACAACTTCGTGCTCATCTACGAGCTGCTGGACGGTGAGACCCGGATCGCGCGAGGTTGATTTAAACGGCGTGAAGAGTGTCCGCGATTTTTAAACAGTTGGGTGGCGGCCCCGGGGGGGGGGGAGGCCTTGCGTCCGGCAGCGGATCGATCGTGGCTCATGAAGGCTGTGCGTGTGTTTGCGCTTCCTCGCCCCGCAGAGATTCTCGACTTTGGCTACCCTCAGAACTCTGAGACGGGGACTCTGAAAACATTCATCACACAGCAGGGAGTGAAGTCTCAGGTAAGTCGCTGCCCCTGCTCTATCCACATTCCAAACCCCCCCCCCCACTCCACTCCACTCTTTCTTCACACACCCACCCCCCTCTCAACACATGCACTCTCTCCACACACTCCCTCTCCACACACTCCCTCCCAACACACACCCCCTCTAAACCCAGACTCCCTCACTCCACCCAGACTCCCCCACTCCACCCACACCTGACATACTTCTGCTTGTATTTGTACCATGGCAATTACTATGGTAATGAGTGAGTTAAGTAGTGATTATAACAGGGTACTTGACCCTGCCTGCTGTCACTGCTAAGTTCTATAGCTTACTGACAAGTGTGTGTGTGTGTCTCCCCGCACGTGCGTGCACATCCATGTGTGTGCTTGTCTATGAATAAGTGTATGTCTGTGAGTGCGTGTTCACATTTGTGCGTGTTCCTATCTGAGTGTGTGTGCATGTGTGCGTGTTCCTATCTGTGAGTGTGTGTGTGTTTTTCTGTCTGTGAGTGTGTGTGTGTTTTTCTGTCTGTGAGTGTGTGTGTGTTTTTCTGTCTGTGAGTGTGTGTGTGTTTTTCTGTCTGTGAGTGTGTGTGTGTTTTTCTGTCTGTGAGTGTGTGTGTGTTTTTCTGTCTGTGAGTGTGTGTGTGTTTTTCTGTCTGTGAGTGTGTGTGTTTTGTGTCTCCCCTCTGCGTATACTCTTCTCCCTCCGTGCCTGCTCTGACTCTTTGGATTTTGGACTAACCACTTGCCCTGTGACCTCTTGACCTCAGCACCAGGTACTTGACGAGTCTCCCGGCTTCTTGTGCTCTCATTCATCCCTCTTTCCCAGCTGCCACGCCTGCCGGCATCACCGCACTACTCTCTGCTATCACCACTCCCTCCTGACACTGCTCCCTCCTGACACCGCTCCCTTCCATCACCACTTCCTCCCATCACCACTCCCTCCCATCACCACTCCCTCCCATCACCACTCCCTCCTGACACCACTCCCTGCCATCACCACTCCCTCCCATCACCACTCCCTCCTGACACCACTCCCTCCCATCACCACTCCCTCCTGACACCACTCCCTCCCATCACCACTCCCTCCTGACACCACTCCCTCCCATCACCACTCCCTCCTGACACCACTCCCTCCCATCACCACTCCCTCCTGACACCACTCCCTCCCATCACCACTCCCTCCTGACACCACTCCCATCACCACTCCCTCCCATCACCACTCCCTCCTGACACCACTCCCTCCCACACATCGCTCCCTCCTGGCACTGCTGAAACGGAAGCAAGAGTATATCAATTAAATCTGCAGAGACAAAAGTTAACTCGAACAAACTACCGACGCCTTGGGAGGTCAAAGCCAGGCATCCGGACAGACGGACCTCTAATGAGGTCCTTGTTAGGCAACACATCCACGCGTCTCCATTTCTCGTACCCAGGCAGTGCGGCTCTCCTGCATACCCGAGTCCTAGGGCTGTGGTAATGCCCACACTGGGATGCCCGTAGGCTGTTAGTTGGTGGTGCTCTCTGTCAAGGTGGGGGTGCGGTGGGCTGCTGTCTGTTTAACCCTGACCCCTGACCCCACCACTCCCCCCCCCCCACCCACCACAGACGAAGGAGGAGCAGTCTCAGATCACGAGCCAGGTGACTGGGCAGATTGGGTGGCGGCGCGAGGGCATCAAATACCGGCGCAACGAGCTCTTCCTGGACGTGCTCGAGAGCGTCAACCTGCTCATGTCGCCCCAAGGTGGCACAGCCGTGCGCGCCGCCACTCCCCCCCCCCACCCCCACCCCCCCCCCCCCCCCCCCCCGATGCCGGCGTTGGCGCTAGGCCGACCTTCACGCCAGCGCTCGCTCCCAACGTCGGGAAGTTTGCCGCACGGTCGGGGTTAGTGTTTGGTTGTTGGCGAGAGGCGGCCGGTGAGGCGCGTGGAGTTGCCTCTGTTTGTAAATTATATATATATATTTTTTTTTAAACCCACGTGACGACGTGGTCGTCGTAGGCGATGAGAAAGATATTTTAAAAAAAAAAAACAGCACAGGGCGTGCCGGTGAACACACTGGATGGCATCTGTAAGACGTCGAGCGGGTGCCGAGCGGTGTGGAGGGGGGAGGGGCTTGCGCCAGACGAATCCCCCTCTTCGCGAGGGCTGCTGCGTGCAGCACCGCGGCGGAGGGGGGCGGGGGGTGGGGGGGGGGGTGGGGGACTGCCGTGGACTGAGACACGGACACGAGCCCCGTCCGTTGCACGCCGGGCGACAGTGGGATCGCGTGGAAATGTCTGCTGACGCGCGACGGTCTTTGCGTCACCCTCCCCCCCCCCCCCCGCCTGCGACCCCCGTGACCCCCGTGACCTCCGTGACCCTGACAGGTCAGGTGCTGAGTGCCCACGTGTCGGGCCGCGTGGTCATGAAGAGCTATCTGAGCGGGATGCCCGAGTGCAAGTTCGGCATGAACGACAAGATCGTCATCGACAAGCAGAGCAAGGGCCCCACCGACGAGACGGCCTGCAAGACGTGAGTCAGCGGGGAAGGAGTGGGGTGTGGGAGAGGTTGTGGGGGGGGGGGGGGGTCTTCATGATGGCCGCGTCCGAGAGACGCTCAGCCGCCACCGCTCGCAGCCAGGGTGTCGGCCGCACGCACGGTTAAACCGAAGCGCGCGGCCACGGTCTACGCGCCCGGCTCCGTGGTTAAAACAGAGCTGTCCCGAGTGGATGGCCTCGGCTAAAACAACACGTGACCGTGCGTTGTGTCGTGCACGTGTGTGTCGTGCACGTGTGTGTCGTGCACGTGTGTGTCGTGCGTGCGTGTGTGTGTGTGGGGAGCGGTAGTGTAGCGGTTAGCGCGCTGCGCTATGAACCTGGCGACCCGGGTTCGATTCCCGCTCACGGCCAACACCAGTGACGATCATCTGAACCGGTCCCGGGCCTCCCCTAGGTCGACTCAGCCTCAAATGAGTACCTGGTGTGGTGTGTAAATATCGCCACTAGGGAGACAAAGGCGGTCGGGCGTGGTGCTGGCCACCCACCCCCTCGTGTACCGTTCCGGCCTTCATAGGTGCTCGCTAACAGCACTTGCCCCTACAGTCTGTTGATGCTATACGGGGGATCTTTGTTGTTTTTTGTGTATGTGTGTCGTGCGTCGTGCAGGTGTTGTGCGTCCGTGCGTGCGTGTGTATTGTGCATGCGTGCGTGTTGCACTCCTGCGCGACCAACGCGGCGACCAGAGTTCCATTCCCGCTCAGGGTCACCTACGCCGCTGGGTGACTATCCGAACCGGTCCCGCGCCCTCCCCTTAACCCGACTCGGGAGACAAAGGCGGCTGGCCGATGCCTCACGACACCTCCTCCTCCTAATGTGTGCCATGGGCTTCGATTCCTCGCTCTGGTGCCTCTCTGATTGGCGATTGTGCGATCTCCCCTTGTTCTGCATGAATGGCTTTCCTCCCGATTCTCCAGTTTCCTCCCATAGACAGTGCAACTGGTCTTGGCCAAAAGCCATCCCAGTGCTGGCGAATCACCTGCATGTGACTCAATTGGGATGACACACAGCAGCAGCAGCAGCAGCAATGACATCACCCCGACTGCAAAACACTTCTTGAAAAGACTCCCGAGACTCTGTGAGGCTTTCTTGAGTAGGCTAGCTTAATGATAACAACATCAACAATCTAACAATCATTACCAAACTATTGAACTGAGCTATTTTTATTTTACCAGGTAAGGTCCACTGAACTTCTATAGCTCTTTATCAGAAGCGACCTGGCTCTCATAGATGATAGCCCAATGAAGTTGGCGCATCATGTGGAAATTTATATCAGCCAAATACTCTCAACCAGTGGTTCTTAACCTTTACTGCACCCTGTTGGTTCTCAGTCGTTAAACAAATGTACAATGTTAATAAATACACGGGGCTTGACGAAACGAAGTAAGTTGTACTTGCGCTCCCGTGCTTAATTTGTGTTTCGACGATTTAGCTTTAAACAAAAAAAATCTGGCCATGTCTTGCACCCCCAAGACAGGGAGTGTGTGATGCGCCTCGGGTTAAGAAGCGCCGCTCTAAATGTGTGACGTTTCTAAATGTGGACGGAAAAACCGGAGGACCCCAGAGAAAAATTCACGCCTCCACGGGGAGAGAGAAAGACGCCTGAACTCCAAATATTACAGCAGGCTTCAGGGTCAGAATCAAACCCACGACCTCTTGAAAACCAGGCGAGGTAGTTAACATCTAAACGGGGAGAGAGAGCGCGAAGCAAATTCCAAATATACAGCAGGCGTCAGGGTCGGGATCGAACCGTCGTCCTCCTGTGTACAAGGCGAGGTCGTCAACATCTCCTAGCCAACGCAGCGCCCCTTTGTCAATCTGTTGAGGCTGTATTTGAAGGGGGTAATCCGTGTCTTTACTCTTGGTTCTTTCGGTAAAGCCATCACGTAGGTATAAAATAAAATAAATCACGACGTTTCGGGCGCAACACAAGCGTCCGTCATCAGGTTAGGGAAGCGTGGTCCTGCTGCTGATTTAATTTAATTTTCTACCCACGTGATGACCTTACCGAAAGAACCAAAGAGTGTGGATTCCTGCAGTCACGAAAGCTTCACATCGAGATTAATCCGTGTCTTGTTTGCCACCCCCTGGCAGTGGCAAGCAGTCGATCGCGATCGACGACTGCACGTTCCACCAGTGCGTGCGCCTCAGCAAGTTCGAGTCGGAGCGGAGCATCAGCTTCATCCCTCCCGACGGGGAGTTCGAGCTCATGAGGTGAGGGCGCCGGCCTGGGGCACACCGCTACAGCCCACAGAGCTGCAGCTCCAGCCCATAGAACTGCAGCCCATGCACACAGCTACAAGCCATACAGCTACCGCCCATACACATGGTTACAGCCCATGCAGCTACAGCCCATACACACGGTTACAGCCCATACACACGGCTACCGTACATACACGGCTACAGCTCGTACACACGGCTACAGGCCATGCACACAGCTGCAGCTCATACACACGGCTGACACAGCTACAGCTGATGATGATGCACCCAGAACACGTGGTTACAGCTGGTGCACAGCTCGCACGTGCACAGCTACAGCCCCACACACACACACACAGCTGATGCATCTACAGCCGGTGTGCGTGGCTACAGCCGATGGTACGCATGTGCGGCGACGGCCGATGAGTCAGGGCGTGTCGCGCCTGCGTCGTGCTGCAGGTACCGCACGACCAAGGACATCATCCTGCCGTTCCGCGTCATTCCGCTCGTGCGTGAGGTCGGGCGCACCAAACTGGAGGTGAAGGTCGTCATCAAGTCCAACTTCAAGCCCTCGCTGCTCGCCCAGAAGATAGAGGCGAGTGCTCGCGCTCACGTGGGGGAGGGGGGCGTGAGGGCGGCGGTGGGTGGGTGGGTAGGTGTGTGAGAGTGAGTGCGTGAGAGTGTGTAGCTAAGTGGGTGAGTGTGTGTGTGTGGGTGAGTGTGAGAGTGAGTGGGTGAGAGTGTGTAGCTAAGTGGGTGAGTGTGTGTGTGTGGGTGAGTGTGAGAGTGTGTAGCTAAGTGGGTGAGTGTTAGTGTGTCTGGGTGAGTGTGAGAGTGAGTGGGTGAGAGTGTGTAGCTGAGTGGGTGAGTGTTAGTGTGTGTGGGTGAGTGTGAGAGTGTGTAGCTAAGTGGGTGAGTGTTAGTGTGTCTGGGTGAGTGTGAGAGTGTGTAGCTAAGTGGGTGAGTGTGTGTGTGTGGGTGAGTGTGAGAGTGAGTGGGTGAGAGTGTGTAGCTAAGTGGGTGAGTGTGTGTGTGTGGGTGAGTGTGAGAGTGTGTAGCTAAGTGGGTGAGTGTTAGTGTGTCTGGGTGAGTGTGAGAGTGAGTGGGTGAGAGTGTGTAGCTGAGTGGGTGAGTGTTAGTGTGTGTGGGTGAGTGTGAGAGTGTGTAGCTAAGTGGGTGAGTGTTAGTGTGTCTGGGTGAGTGTGAGAGTGTCTAGCTAAGTGGGTGAGTGTGTGTGTGGGTGAGTGTGAGAGTGTGTAGCTAAGTGGGTGAGTGTTAGTGTGTCTGGGTGAGTGTGAGAGTGTGTAGCTAAGTGGGTGAGTGTTAGTGTGTGTGGGTGAGTGTGAGAGTGAGTGGGTGAGAGTGTGTAGCTAAGTGGGTGAGTGTTAGTTTGTGTGGGTGAGTGTGAGAGTGTGTAGCTAAGTGGGTGAGTGTGTGTGTGTGTGGGTGAGTGTGAGAGTGAGTGGGTGGGAGTGTGTAGCTAAGTGGGTGAGTGTTAGTGTGTGTGGGTGAGTGTGAGAGTGTGTAGCTAAGTGGGTGAGTGTTAGTGTGTCTGGGTGAGTGTGAGAGTGTGTAGCTAAGTGGGTGAGTGTTAGTGTGTGTGGGTGAGTGTGAGAGTGTGTAGCTAAGTGGGTGAGTGTTAGTGTGTGTGTGGGTGAGTGTGAGAGTGAGTGGGTGAGAGTGTGTAGCTAAGTGGGTGAGTGTTAGTGTGTGTGGGTGAGTGTGAGAGTGAGTGGGTGAGAGTGTGTAGCTAAGTGGGTGAGTGTTTGTGTGTGTGGGTGAGTGTGAGGGTGTGTAGCTAAGTGGGTGAGTGTTAGTGTGTGTGGGTGAGTGTGAGAGTGAGTGGGTGAGAGTGTGTAGCTGAGTGGGTGAGTGTTAGTGTGTGTGGGTGAGTGTGAGAGTGTGTAGCTAAGTGGGTGAGAGTGTGTAGCTAAGTGGGTGAGTGTTAGTGTGTGTGGGTGAGTGTGAGAGTGAGTGGGTGAGAGTGTGTAGCTAAGTGGGTGAGTGTTAGTGTGTGTGGGTGAGTGTGAGAGTGTGTAGCTAAGTGGGTGAGTGTTAGTGTGTCTGGGTGAGTGTGAGAGTGTGTAGCTAAGTGGGTGAGTGTGTGTGTGTGGGTGAGTGTGAGAGTGAGTGGGTGGGAGTGTGTAGCTAAGTGGGTGAGTGTTAGTGTGTCTGGGTGAGTGTGAGAGTGTGTAGCTAAGTGGGTGAGTGTTAGTGTGTCTGGGTGAGTGTGGGAGTGTGTAGCTAAGTGGGTGAGTGTTAGTGTGTGTGGGTGAGTGTGAGAGTGTGTAGCTAAGTGGCTGAGTGTTAGTGTGTGTGGGTGAGTGTGAGAGTGTGTAGCTAAGTGGGTGAGTGTTAGTGTGTGTAGGTGAGTGTGAGAGTGTGTAGCTAAGTGGGTGAGTGTTAGTGTGTGTGGGTGAGTGTGAGAGTGTGTAGCTAAGTGGGTGAGTGTTAGTGTGTGTAGGTGAGTGTGAGAGTGTGTAGCTAAGTGGGTGAGTGTTGGTGTGTGTGGGTGACTGTGAGAGTGTGTAGCTAAGTGGGTGAGTGTTAGTGTGTGTGGGTGTGAGAGTGTGTAGCTAAGTGGGTGAGTGTTAGTGTGTGTGGGTGTGAGAGTGTGTAGCTAAGTGGGTGAGTGTTAGTGTGTGTAGGTGAGTGTGAGAGTGTGTAGCTAAGTGGGTGAGTGTTAGTGTGTGTGTGGGTGAGTGTGAGAGTGAGTGGGTGAGAGTGTGTAGCTAAGTGGGTGAGTGTTAGTGTGTGTGGGTGAGTGTGAGAGTGAGTGGGTGAGAGTGTGTAGCTAAGTGGGTGAGTGTTTGTGTGTGTGGGTGAGTGTGAGGGTGTGTAGCTAAGTGGGTGAGTGTTAGTGTGTGTGGGTGAGTGTGAGAGTGAGTGGGTGAGAGTGTGTAGCTGAGTGGGTGAGTGTTAGTGTGTGTGGGTGAGTGTGAGAGTGTGTAGCTAAGTGGGTGAGAGTGTGTAGCTAAGTGGGTGAGTGTTAGTGTGTGTGGGTGAGTGTGAGAGTGAGTGGGTGAGAGTGTGTAGCTAAGTGGGTGAGTGTTAGTGTGTGTGGGTGAGTGTGAGAGTGTGTAGCTAAGTGGGTGAGTGTTAGTGTGTCTGGGTGAGTGTGAGAGTGTGTAGCTAAGTGGGTGAGTGTGTGTGTGTGGGTGAGTGTGAGAGTGAGTGGGTGGGAGTGTGTAGCTAAGTGGGTGAGTGTTAGTGTGTCTGGGTGAGTGTGAGAGTGTGTAGCTAAGTGGGTGAGTGTTAGTGTGTCTGGGTGAGTGTGGGAGTGTGTAGCTAAGTGGGTGAGTGTTAGTGTGTGTGGGTGAGTGTGAGAGTGTGTAGCTAAGTGGCTGAGTGTTAGTGTGTGTGGGTGAGTGTGAGAGTGTGTAGCTAAGTGGGTGAGTGTTAGTGTGTGTAGGTGTGAGAGTGTGTAGCTAAGTGGGTGAGTGTTAGTGTGTGTGGGTGAGTGTGAGAGTGTGTAGCTAAGTGGGTGAGTGTTGGTGTGTGTGGGTGACTGTGAGAGTGTGTAGCTAAGTGGGTGAGTGTTAGTGTGTGTGGGTGTGAGAGTGTGTAGCTAAGTGGGTGAGTGTTAGTGTGTGTGGGTGAGTGTGAGAGTGTGTAGCTAAGTGGGTGAGTGTTAGTGTGTGTGGGTGAGTGTGAGAGTGTGTAGCTAAGTGGGTGAGTGTTAGTGTGTGTGGGTGAGTGTGAGAGTGTGTAGCTAAGTGGGTGAGTGTTAGTGTGTGTGTGGGTGAGTGTGAGAGTGAGTGGGTGGGAGTGTGTAGCTTAGTGGGTGAGTGTTAGTGTGTGTGGGTGAGTGTGAGAGTGTGTAGCTAAGTGGGTGAGTGTTAGTGTGTGTGGGTGAGTGTGAGAGTGTGTAGCTAAGTGGGTGAGTGTTAGTGTGTGTGGGTGAGTGTGAGAGTGTGTAGCTAAGTGGGTGAGTGTTAGTGTGTGTAGGTGAGTGGGTGGGAGTGTGTAGCTAAGTGGGTGAGTGTTAGTGTGTGTGGGTGAGTGTGAGAGTGTGTAGCTAAGTGGGTGAGTGTTAGTGTGTGTAGGTGAGTGTGAGAGTGTGTAGCTAAGTGGGTGAGTGTTAGTGTGTCTGGGTGAGTGTGAGAGTGTGTAGCTAAGTGGGTGAGTGTTAGTGTGTGTGGGTGAGTGTGAGAGTGTGTAGCTAAGTGGGTGAGTGTTAGTGTGTGTGGGTGAGTGTGAGAGTGTGTAGCTAAGTGGGTGAGTGTTAGTGTGTGTGGGTGAGTGTGAGAGTGTGTAGCTAAGTGGGTGAGTGTTAGTGTGTGTGGGTGAATGTGAGAGTGTGTAGCTAAGTGGGTGAGTGTTAGTGTGTGTGGGTGAGTGTGATAGTGTGTAGCTAAGTGGGTGAGTGTTAGTGTGTGTGGGTGAGTGTGAGAGTGTGTAGCTAAGTGGGTGAGTGTTAGTGTGTGTGGGTGAGTGTGAGAGTGTGTAGCTAAGTGGGTGAGTGTTAGTGTGTCTGGGTGAGTGTGAGAGTGTGTAGCTAAGTGGGTGAGTGTTAGTGTGTCTGGGTGAGTGTGAGAGTGTGTAGCTAAGTGGGTGAGTGTTAGTGTGTGTGGGTGAGTGTGAGAGTGTGTAGCTAAGTGGGTGAGTGTTAGTGTGTGTGGGTGAGTGTGAGAGTGTGTAGCTAAGTGGGTGAGTGTTAGTGTGTGTGGGTGAGTGTGAGAGTGTGTAGCTAAGTGGGTGAGTGTTAGTGTGTCTGGGTGAGTGTGAGAGTGTCTAGCTAAGTGGGTGAGTGTGTGTGTGGGTGAGTGTGAGAGTGTGTAGCTAAGTGGGTGAGTGTTAGTGTGTCTGGGTGAGTGTGAGAGTGTGTAGCTAAGTGGGTGAGTGTTAGTGTGTGTGGGTGAGTGTGAGAGTGAGTGGGTGAGAGTGTGTAGCTAAGTGGGTGAGTGTTAGTTTGTGTGGGTGAGTGTGAGAGTGTGTAGCTAAGTGGGTGAGTGTGTGTGTGTGTGGGTGAGTGTGAGAGTGAGTGGGTGGGAGTGTGTAGCTAAGTGGGTGAGTGTTAGTGTGTGTGGGTGAGTGTGAGAGTGTGTAGCTAAGTGGGTGAGTGTTAGTGTGTCTGGGTGAGTGTGAGAGTGTGTAGCTAAGTGGGTGAGTGTTAGTGTGTGTGGGTGAGTGTGAGAGTGTGTAGCTAAGTGGGTGAGTGTTAGTGTGTGTGTGGGTGAGTGTGAGAGTGAGTGGGTGAGAGTGTGTAGCTAAGTGGGTGAGTGTTAGTGTGTGTGGGTGAGTGTGAGAGTGAGTGGGTGAGAGTGTGTAGCTAAGTGGGTGAGTGTTTGTGTGTGTGGGTGAGTGTGAGGGTGTGTAGCTAAGTGGGTGAGTGTTAGTGTGTGTGGGTGAGTGTGAGAGTGAGTGGGTGAGAGTGTGTAGCTGAGTGGGTGAGTGTTAGTGTGTGTGGGTGAGTGTGAGAGTGTGTAGCTAAGTGGGTGAGAGTGTGTAGCTAAGTGGGTGAGTGTTAGTGTGTGTGGGTGAGTGTGAGAGTGAGTGGGTGAGAGTGTGTAGCTAAGTGGGTGAGTGTTAGTGTGTGTGGGTGAGTGTGAGAGTGTGTAGCTAAGTGGGTGAGTGTTAGTGTGTCTGGGTGAGTGTGAGAGTGTGTAGCTAAGTGGGTGAGTGTGTGTGTGTGGGTGAGTGTGAGAGTGAGTGGGTGGGAGTGTGTAGCTAAGTGGGTGAGTGTTAGTGTGTCTGGGTGAGTGTGAGAGTGTGTAGCTAAGTGGGTGAGTGTTAGTGTGTCTGGGTGAGTGTGGGAGTGTGTAGCTAAGTGGGTGAGTGTTAGTGTGTGTGGGTGAGTGTGAGAGTGTGTAGCTAAGTGGCTGAGTGTTAGTGTGTGTGGGTGAGTGTGAGAGTGTGTAGCTAAGTGGGTGAGTGTTAGTGTGTGTAGGTGAGTGTGAGAGTGTGTAGCTAAGTGGGTGAGTGTTAGTGTGTGTGGGTGAGTGTGAGAGTGTGTAGCTAAGTGGGTGAGTGTTAGTGTGTGTGGGTGAGTGTGAGAGTGTGTAGCTAAGTGGGTGAGTGTTAGTGTGTGTGGGTGAGTGTGAGAGTGTGTAGCTAAGTGGGTGAGTGTTAGTGTGTGTGGGTGAGTGTGAGAGTGTGTAGCTAAGTGGGTGAGTGTTAGTGTGTGTGGGTGAGTGTGAGAGTGTGTAGCTAAGTGGGTGAGTGTTAGTGTGTGTAGGTGAGTGTGAGAGTGTGTAGCTAAGTGGGTGAGTGTTAGTGTGTGTAGGTGAGTGCGTGAGTGGGGAGCGGTGGCGTTGCGGTGAGCACGCTGCGCTACGAACCCGGCGACCAGAGTTCGATTCCCTCTCGCGGCCAGTGACTATTTTCTGAGCCGGTCCTAGGCCTCCCCTATGTCCCCTCAGCCTCAAATGAGCACCTGGTGCGGTGTTTAAACATCGCCACTTTGGTGCTGGCCACCCACCCCCTCGTGTGACGTGCTGGCCTTCATAGGTGGTCGCTTAACAGCACTTGCTCCTTCAGTCTGTTAAGGCTATACGGGGGATCTTTTTTTTTGTATGTAGGTGTGCTCACTTTGAGCCTAGAGGGTAAACTGTAGAACCACTAACCGTGTCATCGCCCCTACCCCCCCCCCCCCCCCCACTCTCTGCGATGCCTTGCGGACACGCACACAAACAAACAAACGCACGCAGGTTCGCATCCCCACCCCTCTGAACACGAGCGGCGTGCAGGTGATCTGCATGAAGGGCAAGGCCAAGTACAAGGCGAGCGAGAACGCCATCGTGTGGAAGTGAGTGCAGCCGCACGCGTGGGCTCCTCGCCTCTCTCTCTCTCAAGCCTGAGTCACGGGGTGGTTACGGAGAGGGCGCGGAGGAGTTGGAACTGAAACTGTGAACTGATTTTATTTTTTTACTTCACCGGGTAGAGGAAGGCCCCCTCGCCTAGCTATTTTGTTTCAGAAGCGACCTTGCTGTCACAAACGATCGCCCGACGAAGTCTTGTCACCGTCGCGTGGACATTCGCAGCGGCCAAATGCTCTCCAAAAGCGTGACGTTGTTGAGGGAAAAAGCGGAGGACCCCCGGGGAAAGATCCACGCGACCGCTGGGAGAGAGGCACCGCAAACTCCAAATGTACAGCAGCAGCAGCAGCAGGCGTCAGGGTCGGGATCGAACCCACGACCTCCTGCGTACCGGGCGAGGTGGTTAACATCTTGCCGCTGTGGCGCCCCATAACTCGGGCCGGGCTTGGCAGAGGAGGTCTCACTCTGCATCAGGCTAGCGCAGGGGTCGGCAACCTGCGGCTCGTGAGCCGAATGCAGCTCTTTAAGGGCTGTTTTGTCACATTATTTACTAAGGACCACCATCTCGTATTTACATGCATTAGGGCCCTTGGGCGAGCGGCGTTCCAGTAAAACCTTGGATTGCGAGCATAATTCGTTCCGGAAACGTGTTTGTAATCCAAAGCACTCGTATATCAAAGCGAATTTTCCCCATAAGAAATCATGGAAACTCGGATGGTTCATTCCACAACCCAAAAATATTCATGTAAAAATTATTCATACAAAATACCTTTTTACATTTTTATCATTTAAATTTAATATAAAGTAATCAAATTTATTAATTAAATGTAATCGTGGCTGGTGTGAAGGAGACAAGAGAGAGAGGAGAGAAGGGGGCCATTGTTTCAGTACAGTTACTAAAGAACACTCACTACACTTGGACACAAAATAAAAAAAATGCTTTACGCACACACACGTGGTCACAGCACTATACTGTAGTAAACAGTATACACGTGGTCACAACACTATAGTACTGTGTAAACAGTATACACGTGGTCACAACACTATAGTACTGTAGTAAACAGTATACACGTGGTCACAACACTATAGTACTGTAGTAAACAGTATACACGTGGTCACAACACTATAGTACTGTAGTAAACAGTATACACGTGGTCACAACACTATAGTACTGTGTAAACAGTATACACGTGGTCACAACACTATAGTACTGTAGTAAACAGTATACACGTGGTCACAACACTATAGTACTGTAGTAAACAGTATACACGTGGTCACAACACTAGTACTGTAGTAAACAGTATACACGTGGTCACAACACTAGTACTATAGTAAACAGTATACACGTGGTCACAACACTATAATATTGTAGTAAACTATACACGTGGTCACAGCACTATACTGTAGTAAACAGTATACACGTGGCCACAACACTATAGTACTGTAGTAATCAGTATACACGTGGTCACAACACTATAGTACTATAGTAAACAGTATACACGTGGTCACAACACTATAGTAAACATGAGACCTCCTTTGCCAGAAACGATATAGGAATAGGTTTTACCCTTTTAACTGGCACAAAAACTGACACCTTTATTCAAGGCATCATGTTTGCAATAACCACAACACAAGCAGTCAAAATGCAAACAAAAAAAGACAACTCTGATAATAATATGCACTGTCCTTGAATTTGATTAGTCCACACCCGAGACAGCTTTTCTTAGAGCCTAGTCTCCACTGGTGTTGGACCAGAAGACCCCAAAAGGCGTACGGTTTTGCTGTATATTTTCATCGGCAGCGTGAGTTAACGCTGCGGGGAAGCTCCTTGGCCTGCCGTCCAGCCAAGCCCCCCCCCCGCCCCCCCCGCCCCCGAGTCATCACGGCCACAGTCATGCCCCTTTCCCGCTCTCCGTGCTTGCGAGACCCAAGGGCCCGCAGCGCGGGAACGCTGCGCCGGCCAGCGACTTTGAGCCGATCCCCCGGTGTTGTTGCGCTGCAGGCTGAAGCGCATGGCCGGCATGAAGGAGTCCCAGATCAGCGCCGAGATCGAGCTGCTGCCCACCAACGAGAAGAAGAAGTGGGCCCGGCCGCCCATCTCCATGAACTTCGAGGTACAGCCAGAGCCAGGGCAACGGGGAGAGGGCGACGCGGCTATTGCAGAACTAGTGTGACGGCTATAGAAACATACTCGCGTACCTGCTTAGATATGCGTGTGTGTGTGTGTGCGCACCACGTGTGCGCGCGTGTGTGTGTGCACGCCGGGAAAGGTCCTGGTAAGGATTATTCAACATCTCCCCCTTGCCAGGCAGCACGCTGAGGAGAGAGGCTTGCAAAGCCCCTAAGTGGTTTCAGGCCGGGGTGGTCCTGCACAGACGCCATATTCTCTGTCCACCTGCCACAGCAGAGGTGTAGGGAATTTCAACCGGGCCTACACCTCTACTTTATTGACCTGGTCGAGGCCTATTGTACCATCAATAGGTCATGGCTGTGGGTTATTCTTCGTGATTTCGAAGTGCCAGACCCTCTGTTGACAATCACCTTCATGATGGTGAACAGGCCATTCCCTGTACACCTTGAGGTGCGACAGGGATGTCCTCTGGCCCATACGCAAATTAACATCCTCTTTGACCACGTAGTTCGAGAAACTTTCCATGGACGTACCAGTGGAATTTCCACCTGGTATATACACAGTGGGAGTCTGATCGATGAGTGGGTGCGGTCAAGGGATGGTTCACTGTTGGTCAACCATGTTATATATGCAGATGATCTGGTAACTGTTGTCCACTCTGAGGAGTTGGATGTGCTACTGCTGAACCTGGAGTGTGCTACCATCATCCACACAAAAACAAAGCACCTGACTGGGTGTTCTACGTCATCGAATTATCTCCTCCCTCCACTCCCCATGAGTGAAGGGGCAGTTGTGGAGAGAGTGGAGAAGTTTCCGTACCTGGGCAGTGTGCATATCACCAACTCCAGGTTGTGCCAGAGCTACCTGGTCTGTCGCTCCACACGAAGCTCCGGGTCTCCTTGGCCACAGGCACGACCTTCCTTATTTATGCTTACGAAACGAGGACCCCTCTAATGGAAGATTTGTGCTGGTTTTAAACTTCAGACTGGCCTGCCTCCGACCCATCCTGGGTTCAACCAGGCTGGATTGTGTAAGGTGCTCACAAATATTTTAAGGAGCTGGACATAGTCCCATCAGTGAGCTCCTCCGGACAGGCTTGGCTGCGTTGGCTGGGGCATGTAGCCTGCATGCCAAAACAGTTCATGTTTGGCCAGATCGAGGGGGCTAAACAGGCATGGCACAGGCTAGAGAAGAGCTGGACTGATGTGGTACAGGAGGATGTGGAGCTGAGTGGACTTGCCGATGACTGGAACATGCAGCGTCAGGATCGGCCTCTGTTGAAGAGGCTCGTGAAGGACGCTACTGGGCAGTTGGAGGCAGTCGCCCTCCAACAGCAGCAGAGGGGCGGAGTAGCGACGCTCACAACAACAGGTGGAGCGCCGGCGGCTGTTGGCACAGGTGGTGCATCTGCCAGTCAACTCAGTCGGTCAACCCATGCCACCTGGGTCTGTCCCGTGACCTGTCAGTCTTCGACACTTCACGTGGCATCCGGAGTGCACTTGGCCTGGCACAGGCGCCGTGGTGACGTCATGCCACTTATTAGTGAATGCCGGCTGTTGTGTCTGCGCGCATGTGTTTATGCACGCGCGCGTGTTAATGCGCGCTCCTTCGTGCGTGCACGTGTTCACATGTATTTATGCGTGCATGTGTCTGCGTGTGTCTGCATTGTGTACCTTCGCTCAACCCCCCCCACACCCAGGTCCCCTTCGCCCCCTCGGGCCTCAAGGTACGCTACCTCAAGGTGTTCGAGCCCAAGCTGAACTACAGCGACCACGACGTCATCAAATGGGTTCGCTACATTGGCCGCAGCGGCCTCTACGAGACGCGCTCGTGACGGGCCACTCCAACTTGCCCCCCTGCCACGCCACCGCACGTGGCGCGGCCCGTCCCACAACCGCACGGGCCGCGCCGCGCCGGGCCGGTCCACCCACGCGCGGCGGGGCGGGGGGGGTTATGTGACGTGATTCCGTAGGCTGGATGTTTCATCTCGGTAATTTCACCCCCTGCCTCCCCGGTGAGCGTGAGTCATGGGGCGATCCCCTTCTCCGTTCGTCACGAATCGTTAGTCGTCTGCGCCCCGCCGCCCTCCGTGTCGTCGCGGGCGCTCGGCTTGTGGAGTCGCCGGCGCTGCGTGGAGGATTCCCCCGCACGCCCCCCACCCCCGCCCCCCACCCCCCGCCCCCCGCCCCCCCGCGTCCGCTTTCACTGGGAATGGTTCTTAGCAAAGGGATTGGTAGAGGATCCGTTAACCGCCAAGGCCTGATCGTTTTTGGAGATCGATTCGCTGGGATCACTTTTTTTAGATGGTGGGTGGTTTAAAAAAAGAAAATTAGTGGAGTATTTGTCGTTAAGGAGCGCGAATCCAGACACACCGATGTTCTCGATTCATTGGCTCGCTCGCGAGCTGCGGTCGATTCGTACGCTCGCGACGTGCCGATTGAATCGGGCGCGTCGCGTTCCACCCGTTGCGTATTTTCCTACTGTGCTGTCCTTACGGAAGCAAAACGGGGCGAACGATTGACCCATAATAACCCCCCCCCCCCTCTCCCAACCTTCCCTTCACCGCCCCCCGCCCCACCGGTGCGGGCGAGCTCCTCACCGCGGCCCGGTGAACGTCCGCCCCTCCCGGCGCTTGCCGTCACCGCTCTGTCCGTGTTGCGGTGCCCTCTCGGTTAGGCCACCTCGCCCCCCCCTCCACCCCCACCTTGCTGGCTATTCGTGCGTCGTGTCGTCTACGCGTGTCTACGTGTGTCTACGTGTGTGTGTGTCGTGGATTGGCGCCGTAGGCGCGGCGTGGTCCATGGTGACCGACCGACGGACGGACAGACGGTCGAACGGGCGGACGAATAGACACGAGGGACGAACGGCTTCGATGGACAGACGCGCGAGCAGACGAGCGAAGCTCTGCGGGCGCCGCGCCGACTCCTCGCACGCTCGCCCGGCCTCGGCTGCCTGAGAGATGCGTCCCGGTTTGTGCGACCCACCACCCCCCCCCCCCCCGCGGGGGGGTGAGGAGCGTGGGCGACGGAAGGGGCCCCCCCTCGCAGGCAGGGGAGACCACGCGAAGGGACGCGCCATGTGGCTCGTGCTCTCACCCAGTCGCCTTGTTTTTGTGGCGGTGGTGGCGTTGTGTGACAGTCGCCTGCGTAGAACGATGACTGCGGTCGAGTTTTCCCAAGCACCGGGTCGGCACGGCCTCGCAAAGTGTCGCTCGGTCTACTCGCCCTGGGATTATGATGGTGACGACGACGACGATGACGATGATGACGCCGACGACGTGGTTGCGTTAACCCTGATTAGACCTCCTGCCATTCGTGGTTATGAGCTCCCCCACCCGTGCTCCTCTTGAGTGATGATTATCGCTGTAATTGCGCACTGTTAACCTCGATCAGTAATCTCCACAAGCACGGCCTCGCGTCTCCTGAATAAAGTAGTCGGAGGCGACTGAGCAGGGAGAGAGCAGTGATGTTGATTGCGAGCGTGTGGCATTCCGCGGGGGAGGGTGTGCGTGTCTCTTGGTTCGGTTGGCTACGTGCGGTGGGAAAGAAGTTCAGCACGCACGCACACGCACGCACGCACACGTGTGTGAGAGGTGTGGTCACAGCGCTACCAACCCAGACTCCTCGTCACCCCGCCACCCGACAGTGTCCCCCTCAGTGGAAACGTTGCCGTAACATCGCCGCCACAACCACCCTCGTGGCTCGCAACCTCCCCCCACACACCGCTCTACAGAACCACGCCGTGGGGCGGGGGGGGGGTTGGAGGTCGTGAGTTCGATCCCGACCCTGACGTCGCCTGCTGCTGTATATTTGGAGTTTGCACGTCTCTCTCTGTCTCCCCCCGTGGTCGTATGGATTTTTTTCCGGTTCTACCGGGTTATTTTCCTCCACGTTGAGAATCAACATCATCATCACACCTTCAGAGTGTTTGACTACTGGCTGTAAATATCAACACGACGGTAAGCTTTTACTTCGTTTGCGATAGCCAGGTGGCTTCTGCAAAAGAGTCGTGCAGCTCAGCAGTGCCTTACCCGGTAAAATAAAAACAGGTGTAGTTTAACTTCGTACCAGGGAGGCCCGTGGTGCACCACGTGGCCGATGATGACGGCCGCCGGCAAGAATTGAAATTCCAAAAAAGATAACCCCACGGGCACGCTCCGTTTGACGTGGCCGCGGAGAGCAAGGCGGCGGGCGTTGCGGGCGCGTGCAATCGCCTCGTTGTTTTTCATTATTACCTTTTAGTAGGTGAGGCCGCACTGAGCTGTGTTGTGGCGCGTTTTCACAAGCGACCTGGCCACCGCAAATGAGAGCTCAACGAAGTGGGCTTCACCTGCGGCGATGGCAGCATCCCTCCCCCCCCCCCCGTGCGACGTGACCCCTAACACGAGGGGGGGTGGGGGGGGGGTGGCTGGCCAGCACCACGCCCGAGACAAAGGTCCCCCGTGTAGCCTTTAACAGACTCTTGGAGCCAAGTGCTGTTAGCGAGTAGCACCTATGAAGGCCGGAACGGCACACGAGCGGTTGGGTGGCCAGCACCGCGCCAGGCCGCCTTTGTCTCCCCAGCGACGATGCTTAAACACCTCACCAGGTACTCATTTGAGGCCAAGACAAAGATCCCCGTATAGCCTTAAGACTTGGGGCCAAGTGCTGTTGGCGAGCACCTATGAAGGCCAGAACGGCACACGAGTCGAGACACACTGACACACAAGCGCCCCCCGTCATACATCTCCCCCGCGAATCCCACGCTGTTGATGTGACACTCCACCCCACCCCTCGCGCTCTTCGTTGGCTATGGCTTCAATAAATCTCAAACCTCCCACGTCCCGCCCCGCTCGCAGGAGCGGCGAGTTCGTCCCGAGTAGAGAGGCCGCTAGCAAGCACCAAAAACGCCGCCGCCGCCGCTGCCTCGACGCATCCCCCTCCGGAGACTGCCCAGCGCGAGTCTTTTCCGACGTTTGAACACCACACGTGGTGCACGCGTCTTCTGCAGTACCCACAGATGGATGGATTTTGTGGCCCTTTTTCTCGTTCATGATGGAGCTTTGTGGTGGAGCGGTGCCCAGGGACGGACCGGATGATGCGTAGCCGCCCGAGGGGGACACGCGCACGTGTGTAATGGTGTGATCACGAGGTGGATGCTTCCTTCCCGGTGGTCGGCGTTATATGCGATTGCCTATCACTTGGGTGATGCTGCTCACTCTTGTGCTGCGCTTGGTACTGCCATGAAAACTTTGGGGGGGGGGGGTGGTTACTATGACCCCCCCCCCCCCGCAAACAATTTTGTTTTTATTTTACCAGATAAGGCCCCACTGAGCTGTATAGCTTTTTTCAGAAGAGACTTGGATATCACAAATGGTAGCTCAGCGAAGTGGCTAATCATGTGGATAAAAAAATACTCCAAACCGGTGATTCTTAGTAATGAAGGTGTTATTACTGCAGCCTTGCGCCCCTTGCGTTCTCAATCGTAAAAAATATAAAAATGTTAATACATCGGTTTCATGAAACAAAGTAGTTGTACTTAACGTGCCATGTCCCGCACTCCCAGAAAGGGCACCTCGCACCCCCGGGGTGTGCCCGATGCACCCCAGGTTAAGAACCACTGCTGCAAACGCACGTGGAGGGGAAGACACCGAGAAAAAAATCCACGCGACCACGGGGAGAGTAAACACGCAAACTCCAAATATGCAGCAGGGGTCGGGATAGTATCCACCACCTCCTGTACACCAGGCGAGGTAGTTAACATCTCCACGGGGAGAAAGAGAGACGCGCAAACTCCAATTATACAGCAGCAGCAGGCGTCGGTCGGAATAGAATCCACCACCTCGTGTACACCAGGCGAGGTGGTTAACATCTCCACGGGGAGAGTGAACACGCAAACTCCAAATATACAGCAGGGGTCGGGATAGAATCCACCACCTCCTGTACACCAGGCGAGGTAGTTAACATCTCCACGGGGAGAAAGAGAGACGCGCAAACTCCAATTATACAGCAGCAGCAGCAGGCGTCGGTCGGGATAGAATCCACCACCTCCTGTACACCAGGCGAGGTGGTTAACATCTCCACGGGGAGAGTGAACACGCAAACTCCAAATATACAGCAGGGGTCGGGATAGAATCCACCACCTCCTGTATACCAGGCGAGGTGGTTAACATCTCCACGGGGAGAGTGAACACGCAAACTCCAAATATACAGCAGGGGTCGGGATAGAATCCACCACCACCTGTACACCAGGCGAGGTAGTTAACATCTCACCACCTACCCTGAGGTCTCCGTCCATCCCATCGCCTCTTCACGGGTAATGAGGCGATTAATTGAACAGACGAAACCGGAAGGCGTTTTCACAATTTTGGCAATCGCCTGACGATGCTGATTGTTGTTGTAGTCACTGGCGAAATGTCTCAACTTTCATCCTACAAAGTCCCATCACAAAGGAGAAACACAAACAAAGACATGTTCTGTCCGTATTGAAACGGCTGTACGCACGAAAGCTCAATTTCCCTGTACTAGAATACGTGGTAAACAATATGGGTTGACAAGTATGCACTGCGCTTCCATACCCGGTCAACCCCTTACCAGTGCACTACCTAATTACAGACCAATTGAGACCTTATTGGTCACCCCGTGCCCTTATAAATCTCAACTTTCATCCTACAAAGTCCCATCACAAGGAATAAACGCAACAAATCGATATTTTTTGCCCGTATTGAAACGGCTGTATGGCGTATGGACCCGCATATTCAATTTCCCTGTACAGTGAAACATTGGATTCCGAGCATAATTCGTTCCGGAAACGTGCTCGAATCCAAAGCACTCGAATATCAAAGCGAATTTCCCAATAAGAAATAATGGAAACTCAGATGATTCGTTCCACAAACCAAAATACTGTATTCATATAAAAATGATTAATACAAAATACCTTTCTATATTTTTATTATTTAAATTTAATATAAAGTAATCAAATTTTTTAATTGCATTTAATCGTGGCTGGTGTAAGAGAGACGAGAGAGAGAGAGAGACAGAGGAGAGTTATTTGGTAGGACGACTTTCACTTGCAGTACAGTTACTAAAGAAAGGGTAACTTACCTTACCTTGCCGAGATCTACTTCCGGTTGACGAACAAATCCATCGGACACAACAACGTGCTTGCCAGAAACGAGCCGTACAAGACATCGCCTGCTGTTCTCGTCAAGGAGCATGACCCCCACCATCACGCCAAGTGCGCTCATTCTCGCAGCAACAGCAGCAGCGGCGGCGGCGGCGGCTTTTGGCTGCTCGGCCATCGAACAAAGACGGCGCCCACAACCATATCGCACGACGCTTTCGGGTGCGCTTCTGCTGGCCGTCTGGAACGCTCTTCCGATATTGGGAAGCCACTTTGAGCTGCGCGCCGTTTAAAGCATCGTCTAGATTGGCAAAACTCATTTCTTTCGACCTGCTTGTTGTGTTTACGTTTTGTTGTCCTTCCCCCGCACCTCCGATTAGTACGGTTGGCTACGTACGGTGCGAAAGAAGTTCAGCACACACATAGAGGCAGTTGTCCTCTAACACGGTAGCTGCGATCCTGCAGAACACCGCGGTGTGGAAAAAAAATCGCGTTATAAATAAAGAACGTATCATATAGAGAGGTAAAGCACAGTCCGCCGTCACCCGTGAGATGCGTACGCAGGCTCAACAAAGACTCAAGCGTGCGTGGTGGGTCGCGTCGAGACGCATCCCAACGCCTCGCGTGATGCTGCCTAACCCCGGGGCAGCCGTCACAAACCGCCTACTCCTACCCGCGTTATAGACAATTGGCATCCGCGGTACAGAAATAAGAAATGTGTTCCCCAATACATTGGATCGCGTTGTATCCAATTCGCGTTATGGGATGAACAAGACCTGTACGTACATAGGTGAGAGAGACAGACACAGAAGACGAAGATCCCCCGTGTAGCCTTAACGGGCTGTTGGGGCAAGTGCTGTTAGCGAGCACCTTATGAAGGTGCCGGCACGGCTCACGAGGGGGTGGGTGGCCAGCGCCACGCCCGACCGCCTTTGTCTTCCCCAAGTGGCGATATTTTTATACACCGCACCAGGTACTCATTTGAGGCTGAGTCGACCTAGGGGAGACCCATGACCGGTTCAGATACTCGTCACTGGTGTTGGTCGTGAGCGGGAATCGAACCCGGGTCGCGAGTTTCGTAGCGCAGCGAAGCGCAGCGAAGCGCGCTACACCGCTACACCGCTACACCCACAACCGCTACACCACGGCTCCCCATAACCGCTACACCATCGCTCCCCATAACTGCTACACCACCGCACTCATAACTGCTACACCACCGCTCTCCATAACCGCTACACCACTGCACCCACAACCGCTACACCACCGCTGCCCGTAACCGCTACACCACCGCACCCACAACCGCTACACCACCGCTGCCCGTAACCGCTACACCACCGCTCCCCATAAC